GGCATTTAAAATGCTTTATTAAAAAAAAATGTTTAGAAAAACAATTTCGTCAGACATATTATGTCAAGATATATTTTTGTGGAACTGCTTCCGGTTGATCGCAAAGCTGTATGTTCAGAAAAGAAGCTTGAGAATGGAGGGAAAAAGCCAAGTTTCCACAAAATTGGTTGGAAAACGAGGAATTTGGTACATGGCTCCAGCCTGTCGACGGGTACTTGTTGGTGGCATTAAAATTATTTCTAAGAGCATTAAAAAGCATTAAATTTGAGTTATTAATTCCTGTATAAACCCTGCATTTATGCATACATTATGACTTGCATTATCCCTGGATTCATCACTAAGTCAGTGGTCATGGTTTCCCCCTAAAAAAAACTGCACCTGCATATCAAAATCAAAATCTCTCCTCCAATCTCAGAAATCTGGCATAAATCCTTGCAATTTTCCAGATGCCCGTTTTTTGTTATGTTACAGAAGGAAGTGATTCAGTCTCTATTTATGGACTAGAAATATCATGAGAAAGCACAGATGGTATGCCGACCAACTCAACACTCCTGTCTGTTTTTTCAGATTATATTTTTTAACCACCTCGGATCACTTCTTTAAGGAAAACTTGCACTTCAGTTTTGGAAATTGTATACTTGCAGAGGCCTGTCTGAGCAACCAAGCACAGATCATTTAGGGAAGTTCAATATAGTGAGCTCAATGAATGTTCTGCTATGTAGTTTGGATTACACCAGCATTCTAAAGGTCTAATCTGGGCCCACATGTAATAATCCACTATCCCTCGCCAGTCAAAGGCTTGAGTATTTTACTCTTGGTCTTTTATCTTTTATTTCTGCATATAAATATGGAAAAGATTGCAGATCAGACTCCCTAAATTGTTTTGTTGGGATCTCTACTGGGAGTGCTGCAAAGATTTATAATAATCTAGGGAGAACATTTACCTTCATTGTCCATAGGCTCCACCTCTCCAGATCATCATAGATTTTCTTATTTGCTTGAAATGAATTTTCATAGAGCTGTGCAAGTTTTTTTTTTGTTAAAAAAGCACAAAGTACACAATTTGATTCCATTTATTGCTTTGATGGCTTGAACAATTTGGTCAAAATTAGGGTTTTTGTACATTGAGTGTATAAACGAAAAAAATCCCATACTTTTCCAGAATGTTCATAAGCAGTAGGATAGAAAATTCAGTATTTTCCATGGCTAGAGGACCGTTATCCGCATATCAGCATATATTGTTCTCCACATCCTCAGTAAACCTCCCTGATAACCCAAACCAGAGGCTCGATAAAAAGGTTAACGGACACCGCTGCCGACACCCTCTTTGCATTGTTAGTTGATTTGAGAGGTTCCCATTAATCTATATTCTTGCTGTTTGTGAACAGTAGATTAATCATATTCACTACATAAATATTTGTGTTGATATATTTAATACACTGCATGTCTTTTTAAAGTTTTTAAGCATGTTACTTGTTCTATGAGACAGCTTTTAAACACCATGTATACCTACATGATTGTCCTGTAGGATGATTATGTATTTTCAGGGTTTATTTACAATAAAATAGTTTTCACCCTCAAAGATGTACTTGATTTTGATAATTAGGTATGATGTAAGACATGCAACATGGGGTATATTGGTAACTTAAATTCTCCAGTCTTGTTTATGAAGATTGTTTTATTGGATCAAGCTTTTCTAAAATATCAATCACTGCTGTTGCATTAAGCACAGCTGCTAAATCAACCGTATGGTTGAAAAGTGCTTCCATCAGCAGACCAGAAGACGATCTGCATTTTCATACAAATCATTTTCAAGGTTCTTAATTGAGTATAATGTATTCAATTGCTGCTGTTTTTAAGGATCTTCTGATCTTGCAGGAATTAAAGCAACGTCAACTTTTGTTCATGCTGGTCTGCAGTTCTGTTATTGTTCTGACTTTAAAGGTTCTCCTGTTTTTCTTGTGCAGGCAGGGGCCGAGATCTCGACGGTGAACCCGGAGCAGTACTCCAAAAGGTTCTACGAGTTTATGTCCAACATCCTATCATAGAATTATCCTCCAGTCCAGCCGGTCACATCCAGTCATAGATCAGTCAGATGCCACACTTTCACTTCTGTGTGTAGGTCTCTCGCCCCTCGAATAAAAATAAACAATCCAACAAGCATCCAGTAAGATCCCCAAACGCTGCAGAGGTCCTGCTGGGGGATCCTTTGAGCCTGTTACGCAACACCCACCCCTTCTTCACTTTGTGAAATCAAATCCCAGTATCCTCCTCCTGTTTTATTTTCTTTTTTAAATCTACACTCCTTAACACTTCAATTGCTCCTCATGCCAGCACGAAAACTGTCTCACTAATGCCTTGAACGAGAGCATCAGCTTCAGCAGTTATGTCAGTCAGTAGAGTCTCCTCAGTCTCTGTTCATGCTGTTTTTCTTTTTTCTTTTTCTTTTAGACAAACAGGTGCAGAATGACCAAATTGCATGACAAACTTCTCAGACAGTCGCCACCAGGCTTCTCCTAAGATTTAAATGTACTGCTGACAAATTGGAGATTAGCACATTAATATATCAGTGTATAGACTAAACGAATGCAGTGTCAAAAAAAAAATGCATGGCTGACATGTACATGAGACTCCAGCACCAGTTGTAACATCAAACCACTAAACATCAGAGTGTTATGACTAAAAGGATTAATATGAAAAAAAAAAGTTGAAATGTTATGTTGCCATAATTTCTCTGGATGTTTTTAAAATTTTAACCCAGAAGTTGGGTGGAGGTTGGTTGGAATAAGGAAACACAAACTCTCACAAAAGAAAAAAAAGGGGAATTCTGCAGCAAATACTTGTTTTATTACCATAATGATCATTTTTATATCTTGTTTACATTAATGTAGCAATTTTGTGTTTGTATACAGTATTGTTTTGTTACCAACAGACATTAGGAAAAAAGGTTACTTGAAAAAAAAATGACTCATTGCATATTAAAGGGAGTTTTATCTTGTTTTTGTTGTCCTCATTCTTTTCTTGCCCTCTGTGTGCATGTTTTTATAAATTCATAAACTTTGGGAGATAAATCACACTAAAATTTTTGTGTGATCCCATAAGGGAATTATCCAAATACTTAACAGATCAAGTTGAAAGCTTATTGAACACCAAATATACTCTTCATTATTTAATGAGTTGCATCTCCACATAGTTACTTCAAACTGTGGAGTTTGGGGAAATAAGTAAATATGCAAGGCGAGTCAACCACTTTGTAGATAATTAAACATTTAGGGTTAAAGTTACTTGTTTTTTAGAGCTCCCGTTTGCACAATGCCTTTCTGAATTTTACCTGCACCCATCAGAAAGACTTGAATAAACACATTAATTTAGATCCGTTGTTCCCTCTTTGCTGGTGTTAACATTGTCCTGCTGTTCCTCTGACCACTTTATTTGGCAGATTTAGTAGAGTTCATTAGAAATCCTTTTCAAGCTCAGGCCCTGCCTTTAAACACACTCCCTCTGTGTTCAATGGGTTGGGGCCTGTTTTCAGGAAGTTAATAGCCTCCAGAACCAGCTCTGCTGTGTTTTGGACAGAGGTGGGTAGTAAATGGTTAAATTTACTTGTGGAGCTTTTTTTTTCAAATGTATTTTTAGGAGTAGTTTTACAGTGTTGTAGTTTTTACTTTTGAGTAAAAATATAAAGTATCACTACTCTTGTGTAAACTTTCTGGCTACTTCATTGTAACTTTGCTTAATGAATACAAGCATGTTTTACAAAGCTATTTGGTTAAAAAAAAATATTTCATGGAATTTGAGGGAAATTACAGTAAAAAGTTACTTTAATCAATTCTAACATGCTGTAACTATTAATAAGATGTCTCAAAAAATATAAAATCAGCTGTTGTAATGGGTTATAAGTAGATCAGATACTCGGTACTTTTAGTCTTTTTTTTTTTTTTCAAGAAGGCACGATGAAGTAGTGCTACTCTAAAGTACCGTTCTTTGACACTCTACTGACCTCTGGTTTTGGATCCATCAAGTTGGACCGACCAAACGTGTCAAAGTTTTAACCACCTGATCTTGCCTGCGTAAAGGGAGGAGACTGGTTATTTAAGCTAGTCATAAATGGGCGAAATATAAATTCTTAAGATGTCTTCATGGATTAGAACCTATTAATAAAATCAGCCTCACAGCTTCAAAAATGGATAAACACCTTCTGGAGGAAAATCCTAAAAAACCAGCTAGAATAAATGGAAGGGTAAGTGTGAAAATTCTGTCATCCAGGTCATGGTGACTATGTTCCTCCAATTTAAGCCAGTTTGTAGTTGAGGTAAGGTTTCCTAACTGAAGAACACTTTGCTGTCTAAATATATTAGACATTTCTGAACTGTTTAAAATCCAGGTTTGTACTGAAAAGCTGCCTGTTAGAAGGTACAGTATTTAAACAAATGGTCCTGTGTAGATTAAAAAGAATAATCCCAATTTGATCGATCAAATTAACTCAATCCAGCACTTATAATCCCTATGATCACTGATGAAAAGAAATCCTCCATTTTTAGTTCAATTAGATCATTAAGTTCAGGATGTGCAAGCTAATATTTACTTAATCATGCAGGTTAAAATATTCCATTTCAAAAGCAGTATTACTATTTAACATAATACGTTACTAAAGTACATTTGATGCATTAATTTGACCAAGTTATTTTCTTAATGTGTTGCAATGCATCAGGATAATGTAAAGTGATGCTTCTGTTCAACATTCCATCTATAACAAGTTATTCTGCAAAAAAAAAAAAAGTTCTTCACAAAAAAAAAAAAAAAATCATTGGTAGAGCAACCTATTGACCTTTTTGGGATATTACCTACAACACATAAGCAGATGTCTAAATAACTAATTGCATTGATGCATTCTTCTGTTCGCTGTACAGAGAATGGGGTGGAACAAAATCCTCTGGATAACAGCAACCCCCTTCAAGACCCCAGTGGGCCCGGCATGAGCACATTACAAATGTTGATTGTTTAAACCCATTTTTTTTATTTATTGGACAGCATCAGTAAGAAAACAAAACAGGTGTGTTTGAATCAGTTTTATACAAAACAACTGCATGGAGGAAGTGCAGCGAGAAACAGAAGCTCTAATCCATCCTGGCTTTCAGGGTTCGTGTGGTGATCTTGTCTTTCTCTCTGTGAAAGATTAAGAACACAGAAACAAAACATTAAATCATCAGATCTGCTGTTTCCCTTTTCACCAAACTATTTGCTGTCATAGCAGTAATTAATGGTATTGTAAACTTAATCGTGGAAAAAATTAAAAAGCACCTTTGTTTTCTCTATATAAAAGTTGTTTTTTTAAATTTTTTATTATTAGCTCCTCAAATATTCAGGGGCTGCCACAGTGAGTCATTAGGACTTGCTCACAGACTCAGCAGAGCTTCAATGCTGAATGTCCTTCCTGACAACCAGGGCTCCGTTTCACGAAGCAGGTTTAACGAAAACTCAGTTGTCTAAACCTGAAAACAGGGAAACTGACTTTTCTGGTTCACAAAGAGTTTCTTCAACCTCTGGTTCAGTCAGCGTAGTAAGTCTCCCCAGAGCTAACCTGGTCAGTAGAAGGTTAGTTTTAGGTAGCAGTTTCCTCTGTCTCTGCTCTCCTTACAGCCAAATGCTGTGTTTCATTTCCTGATCTAGTCTGATTTTTGTTGTAGTTTTGTGCATAAAAAATATATATCCTTCACTCGGTCCGTTGGACACGTTACCGGTAGGTTTTAAACAAACATTGCATGTCTGTTTGACGAGGATCTTATCAAAAAATGATCAGCATTTTTTCACAGAGAATTTAATATTTATAGGGAGAGGATTCTACAACTCAGTTGACATGCTATGAGATTACGTGTTTTTATGTTTGTTTAATTTGAGCAAGATGCCGATCATTTTATATTTACTGTACATGAAGAACTGCTGATATTATTTTGAGATTACACATAAGGATTGACTCGATGACAACCCTAATGAGCCTATTGGCACACTCTGAAGCCATGGTATGGGCCTGATCGCTGCTTATAATGGCCATTTGTCTGCATACAGACACTTTACAGTGTAAAAGAAGACTGAATCAACATGAAGAGGGACCCGTGAGATGATCCACAGGTTCTATATATTAGAACGTTTTTAGACTTCATTTTAACCTGCTGCCAGAAAATGTCACCTAAATAGATACATTGATTTACTACAATTCAAGCCGTTTTGATACGTACCAGTTTTACTGAATACGTATTCCTGATATCTGAAAAAAAAAACAACATTTTTTCTTTGTCTAAATGACTATTTCAAACAAAATGATATTCTCCACATCTGGAATAAACCTTCTGGAAATTTTAGATCTCCATCTTAATAATCCTGGTCAGCATTTGTATTATTTTAACTATGACATTTTTTTTTTCAGACATCATAAATACACTTTCAGTCAAGCTGATAGATGTGAGAACGGCCACTTAAAATGTGTAAACATTTCTAGATATATAAAACTTAATTCTTACTAGTATAATTTAGTTTTTTTTACTTTCAAAAATGCAGTTTCTGCTACAAAAATTTAATTTAGAAAATATATTGTTACAGTTAGGTCTAAGAGTGTGAGTTTGATCAGGAAGAATCTTATTTCAGTGATCTACAAATGGAGCAACAGAGAGGAGTGCCTTTAATAAATGTAAAAACGGTCTGCCATAGACCANAAATTGATTGAGCTAATAGATAGCAGCCGTTGTCAAACAGAACACAGTTCCTGACTTTTGGCTAGATCAATTTTGATTTGCGGATTTGAATCTGTATTTTGTTACACCTGCTTCATGAAATTGACCCCAGGATTCAAACCTTTTCTGCCGCATTGCAGCCACAGATCTAAACCACTTATCGCTATCTACAGAAAGCTATAAAATAATGTTTTAGAAATCATCCACTTCTCTGGAACTGCAGCATCTTTATCATACAATCTGCAGTAGAAACTGAGCGGGTAAGATGTAGTGTTTCCCTTAATCCATAAGCATTTATGTATTCCAGAGAACTGCTTCACAGCAATGTTTGTTCCAATCAATCAACTCCCTCTAGGTTCCTGGTTCTTTCCCCTTTTTTTGTATTTGAATTTTAAGTTCAGCTGAGAATTTGTTTAGATTTTTTATTACCCATGTCTGTATAACCACCACCAGTCCTTTATTTGTGGGTTTAAAAAATCAGGTATTTATACATCAAGTCCAGTGTTCTGGAATCTCTGCACAGCTTTATAAAATTAAAGTTTTCCTTTTTCTATGTATTAAAAATTAGACACAGAAATCACAAAAAGTCAGTTTGGTTTCAAAACTCACTTTGCAGTCATCACTTCAATTTAATAAATGGTATGGGTTATGTGTCTAATAAAATGTATGTAGGGATATGGATCAGAAAAAAAAATAAAAAAAGAATTGAAGATTTATTATTTTTAGTCCCCTTGGTTCATAAATTTTTAAACAACAGCAAGCCTTTCATTGGTATGCATGTGTAGAACCCCATTAGATCTTCCTCATTATTTTGGGAGGAATATAATTTTTTTTTTTTATATAGTTATGCAAAAACATTTATCAGGCAATTTTAAAAGTATTTATGGCTGTAAAAATGAAAGACACGTCTGTAGGCCATTAAGATATGCGAGATGTGATCTGTTGGTAGATTTTGCACTTACATGACGTGTACGACGACTCCCATACCAGACACAGCATCCCGATCAACTGCATTCAGCATCGCTTGGGAGATAGTCTCAAAGAGGTCCTCTGGTTCCTGCAGGGACAAAAACATTTCTAATTACCATTCTAGTGCATGATAAGCTATGAACAGCTCTCATATTTCTTATGTAAATCTTGATCATCTGTGTTGTTGGTCATTATTGTTTATTTTGAAAGCTGGAACTAAACCCAACCACATGAATGTGTCTCTATGTTAGAAGGCAGCTGATCGTTCTATTTAAACACAGATGTATTTCATAGATGGTTTGAAAAGTTTCAGATAAAAAAATGAAATGTAAAAATGTCCATCTAAGGCTGGAGACATTTCTAGAGCGAATTCTACACAAAGACATTTAGAAAGTTTAGTCTTCAGACGGAAAAGTCCAGAAAAATAGGAAGCAGTTGCAGGATTAAAGATGATCTTTAAGCCATTCTAGCAACATCAAAGCCGATAATTTGAACAAAATTAGAATTATTTGACACATTTCAAGTTTCTTCAGATCTAAAAGGATGCTGACAGAATCCATTTACATAACATGTACAATTATGAACGGGCCCACAGTGAATACTGACCATGTCAGGCTCCCACAAAGATTCGCACATGCCGTACATCTGCTCCGAGCAGGTCCCGCTCACTACAAAGTCCTCTGTTACCATAGGGCAGCCAATCAGATCCAGGGAGCAGATGAACGGTTCAAAGGTTTTGGGGTCAAGTCCTGCAATCACTGGCTCAATGTAGTATGGTCCAAACCTGATGCAAAACGCAAGACAAAAACAAAGAGATGATCTACAACCACGTGGTTCATCTAGAGACCAGAAAATATCCAAGTGAGAGTTCTCCAGCCTGATGTTGCTTACCGGTAGTTAATTTCAGTTTACTATAAAAGTTGTAATTAAACTGCTCATTTTCATTTATTAAAATAAACAGTGATCAGTTTTTAATATAAAAACCTGATCTTTCTTCCTCATCCTATCATTTGTAATCACTATCACTGAATTTATACTGGATTCAGAGGGTTATACTGGAGGTTTCTGCCCTGTAATAATTGAGCCTTTCTACTCAACTTACCAATTGCTCACCCTGTAAGAGGGATTGCTGCAGAGTAACAGCTCAGTTCATTCAGCAGGGATACCATAGACAATTATGCTTTTACCAGTTGGTATCATAACCTAAATTTGATAATACTGCAGCATAATCAGGATCAAACTGGGATGTTTAGAAATTCTGGATCAGAATTAGACACTTTTGTCTTATAAAGTGCTTTCAGAATAAACTTGTTTTGAATGTGAATGGACAAGTAGAATACTTAAAGGATTGACAGATGGACATATACATAGTTTAATAGATAAATCTTTAGTTCAGTGAAATAAGGAACAGAATATTTTCCCCCATAATTATCCTGTAAAAATCCTAAATCTAAATCCAACCAAACCCTGTGAAAGAACTAAAAGGGTTACCTGTGACACACTGGATTACATCACATTTAACCAAATTGTCTGTAATAAATAAGGCACATATCTAGGGCAAAGATATAGACTTTTACACAGCAAGTAGCCCTCAGCCATCTGAAGTTACTCACCTCCTTTCATACAGTAGGTTGGACACCATGCTCATGAAGGTTTTGGGCTTGATCTGACGACCTTCCTTCAGCTCATACAGGTTCAGTCTGAATTTAAGTCTCTGTGCCCTAAACACAATGTACAGAAAACCAGGTCCCATCACTCAATAGTGTCTAAGTCAATAGTTTTTTTTTTCTTTCTGTGGCAGAGACTTTCACTACAATTGTGTTTCACTAAAAGTTGTGGGGAAAATGGGGAAGAATACTAAGGCAAAGCACACTCACACTGTCTGAACATCAGTAGCCAGTCCAGCCAGCCCGATGTAGAGTCTGTCTCCCATGGGGAAGACCTTCTGGAAGTCTGTGGTGACCATCTGGGCCTGAATGCCATACCTCCGGTCTGCAGCTATGGCCACACAGTTCTTCCCTCGCATGGCCATGACAGCCCCGCCGTTATAGTTCATTATAGACTGGATCAAAAGAGGGAGTCAGTTAGTGCAGATTTAATAAACAAACATATTCTCTCATCAAATTCTAACTCATTCTGACTTATGTTTTATTATCATTGTAAGAAAATATTAGGATACTGTCATACCCTAAATAAATTATTGATTTTAGAAAAAAAACAAACAAAGTGTGTCCTCATTGTGGTGAAAATGCTTAACAAAAAAAAGAGGTGAATGAAGAACATATTGAGGCTCTAGGTATTAGTGTGTACAAAAAAACGAAATATAAAAACAGAAATCCCATTAAAGTAAAAGGTATTATGCTAACTTCTCCTGAGAAACCTCAGATCGTTTGACATTAGTGGACATGGACCGCTTCTAGTACAAGTTCTCAGTTGTACAGTTAAAAAGGCTTGAAGTCCTTCAAACGTCATCCTAAGATCTGTGATCTATTCCCCCCATCATGTTGCTACACAAAACTAAACATTGGGGCAGATTTTCTAAACTGGTTAAGAGTGCAACTGATTATAACTAAAACCTTGATGTAATGTTTGTCATGAGCTAAACGTTTTATTCGACTTACAGACTGCATTTAAAAGCCCTGCCTTATATTTTTAAACCACAATGTAATCCTTGTTGTCAGTTACAAGACGATTTTTTTTTATTTATTTATTTAATAAAGGGCTGAAAATAAATCAAGGAAACCAAAATGCATATGTAGACTTTATATGAAGAAAACGTTAGCACAGCTAACGTTAATCGGTTTAGCTTACAGTTTATATACAATTTCTAGTGCTGAACAGTGTTTTGTAATATATCATAAAGCATACGGGTACATTAAACTGCGCTTTAAAAGGAGGCATCCAAGTAATAAGTGTATTTTAATCTTTCAGCCATAAAACTGAAACCCAAAAAGTATGCTAATGCTATTAGCTTAGCTAAGCAGTTGTAGTAGTTATTTCATATTATTTTGAGCTTTAAGCCCGTGCGTAGCGCAAAACGTTACTCTCTTACCATTTTGAAGCCGTTGTTTTTTCTTTGTTAGTTGTTAGAAACTTGTAAACTATTTCTTTGTTAGTCGAAAGTGATTGTTAACTGCCAAGAATGGGAATGACTACACGATTTAGAAACACAGAGAACGCACGAACGTCGCTCTCAACGTCACCGCGCTGGGTTAACGTGATTGGATGTTCTCGTGTTCCGTTATGAGCGTCTGATATCATTGGATGATAGGAGCCAATAAAGTCTCAGCTGCTGCCGGTATAGTTTGGTAGAGGTGTGTTAAAGCGAAATTCGCAGAAAGTGAAATTAGATCATCATCAATATGAGATGATGTTAATTGATGCAGATTTTTACTGATAATAGTAATAATAATAATAATAACACCCTGTAAAATACTAAGAAAATGTTCTTTTTTGAAAATGTTTTAAAGCAACAGCAGTGACAGAAGCACATTTATCTGCATAGGAACCACCCTAAGCATGATGCTTCCACCACCCTGCTTGACACGTGGGTTTAGTGTTCTTAGGTTTAAAATAATAATTTTTGCTTAAATATATTTGTTATCACCAAAACAATCATTAATACATCCCACCTCAGTCTTTCTCCAATTAGGTTGAATTATTTTTGTCTTTGTCAGCTGCAAATTTTAGTCTACCTCCAAAGAATAAGTTGTAGCGCAAGTACTTGTCAGTGATAATGCCAGTTTTTTCCCACTTGGCATCCAGAAAGATGAAAATGATGTACTGTACCAGGATAAATAAAACTTGTATACATTCAGGAATATAGGCAAGCTCAATGATTCTTGATGGAGTTCACTTCATTAAGAATCACAAGACACTTGTGTTTTGTTTCATGGTTTGTCTTCCTGGGCCCCGATAGGATCTGCAATGGTTTGATACTACTGATCATTTGATTTTATTAGAGCGTCTGGAAAACTGCCTCAGCCTTTCTGGTACAGCACTGGACTGGTTTAAATCCTACCTGAAGGATATGGAGTAGTGTCAGTAGGGAACTTTAAATCAAAGACCAGAAAAATCATATTTAACATGTTCCTCAAGGCTCTATTCTGGGGCCCCTCCTATTAAACACCTAGATGCTCCCCTTAGCTCAGATTAAAGCAAACAACAAGATCAGTGACCATAACTATGCAGACAACACACAGCTTTACATAACAATAACACCAGCTGATTACGAACCCCTCAAAGCTTTGGCTAGATGCTTAGAACAGATCACTGTGGATGAACCATAATTTTCTTCAACTGAAAGAAAACAAAGCTGATGTCATTATTTTCAGACCAAAGCAGCAGTTTAAGTTAGTTCACAGCTTCAGCTACTAGTTAGAAACCACTGATGACTGAAATCTTTGTGTCATGATGGACTCAGACCTGAGCCTTCAGAGGCACATACAGGCAGGCACTAAGTCAGCCTTTTATTACCTGAAAAACATTTCCAGGACTAAAGGACTTATGTCCAAGCAGGATCTAGGAAAAACTCATTCATGCATTTATCTTTAGTAGAATTGATTACTGCAACAGTGTGTTCAAAAACTCTGCTGCCTGTGTTCTCACTAGAACTAAGTATGTTAAGCACATCAACCATGTTCTGAAGTCCTTCCACTGGCTCCCTGTAACTCAGAGAATAGACTTTAAAATCATTTTAGTTTATAAATTACTGAATGGATGAACACCTACATAACATATTTGTTGTCAGTGCATCAACCCCTCAGGTCTTCTAGTTCCAGCCTACTCTGTACACCCAGAACTAGAACCAAACGTGGAAAATCAGCATTTAGATCCTATGCTCCACTTAGCTGGAACAAACTCCCAGAAAACTGTAAAATTTAAAAACCCATTGTCTAGAACTGCCTTTGGCTTTTGAAGTTTACTGAGGTATTATTAGTTTAGGGTTGTGGTCCCACTGTTTTGTTTTACTTTTTTTTTTATCGTTGCTTTTATTTTTCTTCTATATCATTATCTAATTCATGTAAAACACTTTGAATTGCCCATGTACTGAATTGTGCTCTACAAATAAACTTGCCTCACCTTATATGGCCATGCCCAGTTTCAATGTTTAAACCCAAAGTGTGGAACAGAAAGATCAGTACTGGTTCTTTAAGTCTAGATGATTTGACGTTGGGCCAGTATGGACTGGTTAGATTTTGCTCAATATAACTGGCCAGGTCTATTCTACTGCAATATTTAAACTAATCGAAATAAATGTATATATTTTAATAAAATAAACACACGTGACTTATTAACCTACAAGTAGTCAAATATTTTCTTTTATCATTTGTACAAAGACACATCCTTGGTTAGATATTCTAACCCAGATGTGAAAGGTTCGTTTGAATAGAACCACTTAACAATTTGGATAAGAAATATTGTGTTTTGGCCTTTCTGTAAAGAATTAGGTTTATAAGAGTGTTATCAGGTACATAGGAGCACAATCAAATGTTCCTGTTATGCTGCTAGTGACACCCAAGAAACAAAGAAAAAAAATAAAACTTAAACTACTAGCAAAGTAGTTTGAAAATGCAGCACACCTACTTACAGTAAGACAAAAACAATCATGATACAAAAAAAAAGAAATAAAACAGATCTGTTAAGTTGGTTTAAAATAGTTTTACAATATACTGTACAAAGGTCCTATTCATCCATGTTGCTTTTGATGGAGGCAGGAAAAAAATCAGCTACAATAACTGGCTTTTCCTCCTGAAAGGGATTTTCAGAATAAAAGCCAGAGGACAGAGCTTTGACTGTACCCACATTATCTTTTTGCCTCAACAAGTTTATCAAAAAGACAGGTGTCGGGATATAAAGCAGAGTCTTAAAACATGTTTTCCGTCATTTTACAAACTAACATGCAACAATCATCTCTTCATGAAGTTGTCCAAGGAGGCTGGTGTCCTCTGAATGGAGTGAATATTCCTCTTCACCCTGTCTTCCACAGACGAGCTGGCAGCACTTTCCAGCTTCATGTTACTGTAAAACAAAAGGTACATTTTCAAACACTTATTGGATTTAACATAGTGAGGTACCAACAAAAGGAGCCTCTTGGGCCTGAACTTACTGAATGAAGCCAGCATGTGGGTCGTGCTTGGTGTTTTGCTCCCTCTGTTTATCTTGCTCATCTTGCCTCCTGTATCGTTTCACGTTATTTTCCCTATCTTCCTCCCTCTGCTTGGCCTGCTCCATCATCTCACGCCTCTTTCGTTCCAGTTCCTCTGCAGAAAGCTTCCTACATAAGGCAACACAGAATAAACCTCCATGTGGGTGCTGTTAAAGACTGCACTCATCACAACAGATTAATATTCACATGATATTATCTGCTTGCCATTGTGACTCATTGATCTGAGCTGATTTATTGCAGCAGAGCTTACTTTGACACAGGGTTCCTCTGCCTTTGGTAGTGCTCCCTCTGTGGGACGGGGTCTCTCACCTCCGCCTTCTTGTCAGCTCTGTGAGAGGAGGAAGAATAAGAGCGACTGTCCTTGTGGCTTCTGTGAGGAGATCGTGAGCGGCTTCTCTCTCGGCGGCCTGAGTGATTTGAAGCAGGCTGATGTCTGCCGCTTGGAAACTAGCAAAAAAGCAAAAAATGAAAGATGGCTAATTTAATACATTTCTCTTTTTCGAACCTACTGTGGGTGCAAAGCATCTGATTTACATGCAGTCCACGGGGGGTGACTTTAAGCAGCATGAAGAGTTTCTGCGTTGCATCCAATCATTAGAACATTGTGGTGTCCCAATGCTGGAGTTGAGAAATCTGAACTTTTGCATCGTGGGGTGGAGCATCAACCAATCAGAAAAGATAATCCAGTGCGATCGATCGCAGACAGCTCTGCAGGTTGTAGTGTCTGTCTCCCAAAAAAACTCCTGGATTAGCTTTTCTGATTGGTTGATGATCGATTGATAAATCGATAGATGGATATAGATAGATAATTATCCTGGTGGCATCCTATTGCAGTAGCTCCAAAACTATAAAATGATCATTACATTCTTGTTGAAAAGTTTCATGACTAAGAAGAACTTTTTTACTGTTTCAGAAAACCTGTTAGCTAGGTTTAGCTTTAATAATTCCCATACCCATGTAACAGATTACAAAGTGGCAGATGGTTAGTTATCAGTTTTGTGTGAAAAGCGCAGTCAAAAATCCCCCAATTCTTCAATTACACTCATTCATCTTGACAGGCCTTTGTACATTGGTCGGTCACTCTATGCATGCAACATCACCACTCCCCTACTGATCCTACTCTTGAAATAACAAGTATGATCACTTTATGGCTGGTGATCGGTATCTAAATCTAATATTCCTATATTATTATACTTTTTTTGTTACCTAAGATGTGGATAAGATCAAACCCCTAATAAACCCTGCCCGCTGTCTTAACCCCATTTTATAAATCTAAAGTGGCTGAATTATTTTTACAAAAAAAACAAAAAAAGTTTCTGACCTGGAGCCCATATCCAGGAAAATGTTGTGAACGAGATTTGCCGTCTTTAGAATCATCCTTCGAGTGTGACCTGAAACAAATCAAAGGTATTTGTTTTTATATTGATGGTCGCTATATTACTAATCAGTTTACAGTCATAGCTACATACTCTCCATCAAATTCATTATGTTTTTTAATAACAATACATCTGCAGAATGTAAAAAAAAAAGTATATAAGTAATTGTTTTTACATTTTGACAAGTCCATAGTATATAAATATTTACTTCTGGTTACTAGTGTTGCACTGATACTGATACCAGTATCGTGCAGGGCGCCGATCCAGCACTAAAATGGTAATATCGGTATCGGCGAGTACCAACTAATAGGACACCGATACCATTGTGTTGCGCCGATACCAAAAATGGCATTGGCGCAACACTACTGGTTACTATGCCAACACAAAGGATTCTGCACTAGAAGGAACAGAAGGACTGAGTCAGGTGAGGTGGAGCTCAGGCACTGCCAGATTCTAGAAGCTCTGTGGCCAAGCTGAGAAAAAGCTCATTGTCAGTGTTCTATTTCTCAGATTCAAACCAAAGAAGAAGCAAAAGAGTTAAACATCACTAAAGCTGTTGAGGACTGATGCTGACCTAAAGAAGCAAAGAGGCTCAGAAGCCGTGCAGAGTTTGCTGCTTTCCTTCTGGAAAGGTCAGCCAAATATCTGCTGACACTAACCATTAGT